CCCCAAAACCCCAAAACCCCAAAACCCCAAAACCCCAAAACCCCATCTAAAGCATGGCTTGTTGAAATGTCCTTCAGAAGACATCTCCTCATTTATCAAATTATAAATAAACTATGAAATCTGGGTAAATGTCAAAAATGTAGTAAAAGTATGCATCGCGGCAGAAAAACTTTAACTTAATATATTATCCCTCTGATCTTCAAATTGAAAGGTACAAATTCACAACATATTTTCTGGAAGATTCTTAAGCTACTCATTACGGCTGTAATCGACAATTATTATTTTACTTAAAGCAAGGTCTTGGCATTAGCAATGGAGCTATACAAGTTTAGGGCTTTAGAATTACTGAGGCACTGGTTCGAATACACTTGACTCATGATCCTTCTTCACTCTTTGGCCCTTACACCTGCCATCTTCCTTCTTAGATCCAGATTTAGGTTTTGTGTGATGAACTATGGGATTAGAAGAGTTATACTCTTTGAGGAGGTCAGTATTGATGTAGATTTAGTGGGTTTATGTGAAGTTATGTAATTGCAACTCTTATTTTCAATGTTTCCACACTTGCTCTTACGTTTCTGACCAACTGAGAGTTAAGGAATAATACTTACATGTTGATCTGGGTCCCTTTGATTTTGAAGGCGTGTGCTTTTTGTTTCGACTAGGCTGAGTTTTCAAAGCTATTCCTCCTAAATTTATTGATTTTTGACTCAAAGGCACGTTTGGGCCCCAATTTCCAAAATTATTTGCATCATAGATTGTTGCAAAGCTGTGCTTGGATCCTTGTTTCTTGATATTTTTCTTTGAATGATTTTCATTGGTAAATAGGGAATCTTCATCTCTTTTACATTTCATTTGAGAATCTCTGTGCTTATCGTATTTAAGCAAATCTTCTTTTTGAGAATTGAAATATCCTGAAATTGGTCCAGCAGTATGCCTGTTGTGTGATGGCTTAGATCCCTTAGACTTAGCCTCTTTCTTTGGCTTCTTTGCATAATCTTTCATAATCTTTTTCTTCATTTCCTCGAAATTCAAAAGAGCTTTATTGGCTTCTTCCTTTTTCTTTTTACTTTTAAGAGCTCTTGGGTGATAATTTATGTCGAATGACTGATTGTGATGATGATTTCCTTTGAAGCTATCTGAGTTGATCAAGTATTGTGAATTACATTCCTTAATGTCCATTTTACTATTTAGGATTGCCTTCTCTCCAAATTTTTCAATATTTCTACTGTTCTTATCACGTATGGAAGACACTAAATTGTTGATTGGATGTTCTATGCCAGAAAAAGAGCTACAACTTCCTGTATTATCTCTTAGTTGTCGATACTTTGCTAGTAATTTATCAGCATTGAATTGACCAGCTCAACTATAGTTCTTCTTCTTCTTGCTCGCTTCATTCTTTCCTTTTGAATTTCCTGAGGCAGACGCACGGGTCTTTTTACTTGGTGCTTCATATTTGACTCCTTTGATATTCCCTCTTGAATCAAAAGAGCGATTTCCTCTTGAGGACTTTGGCCTCATACTAGCATTTACTACTGCTTTATTTGCTTCCAAATTTACTGTCATCAATCAGTTTTGAACGAGAATAATTTTCATCTTGAGTGTCCTGAGTAATTTTAGAATTTGATCCATGAATATTGGAGATCAAGCTATGCTGTCCTTTTGATTTATGCCTGACAGGAGTCTTCTTCCTTTTCTTTTGACGAGTACTCTTTGATCTTATTCATGAGTTCTGGCTCAAAGGACGCTTATGGAAACTATGACTTGTCATTTTCTCCTTCAAGTTCTTATTAGGAGCATCTTCATCATAAAATAAGCTGTCGTGGCTCTCATCAGCAACTGCCATGGACTTTGTGTGCTCCATATTGCTTACAGAACCATTAGCTTCCTTGAGAGTTTTAGGGTCTTCAGAGATGTTTTTAAAATACCCAGAGTCGAGGTCTTCAAATATTTTCTGAAGAAGTCTTTGCTTCTCTCCATTACTTGTTTGTTGTGAGAGGATATCGATGACACTCTTTTTGTTCATGAGAAGGCTGTCAATAAGAGACTTTGACCTTGCCTCAAAATTGGAATTTACAGAGCATGAGCTCTTGATCTTATCAAAGTTGTTATACTCTTCCACAGCTTGAGCATTTGCTTGAGGCTGTTTTGAACGGTTTTGAGAAATATTTAAGTCATCTCTTTTTATTGTTTCTTCAAGGCTGTCATCGGAGAAGTATTTGATCAACCCCTCTTTGTATTCTTTAAGAAGATTATTTGTGACTTTATATGCAGGGGAGAGTCCACAAGGAGTTATGAGAACATTGACATCGTTTAATTTCCTGATTAAAGGTTGAAATTTATTGCAATCTATTCCGTTCAAAGGTTTTACACAAAACAACTCATCTTCATTCTCCTCATCTTCTTTAATAAGTTGCTGCGCAGGCGAATGATGTTTTTGGTAACTAAGCATGATATGATTTACAAGAGGGCAGTCACTGGGAAGAAAGCATCAAGCAATTTCTAAGCTTTTAGCATGCCAGTATTCAGATTCAGGCTCTTTATCCTCTCTCGAGAAGGTTGGATCTTCGTCCAACTGAAGGATGAATCTGATCTCTGTTGATACACAAAAATATCCAGCTGCTAAGAGGGCGATCTTCTCCAAGAAAGAAGGTCTTGTGAGTTGGTTCTCATTCTTGGCATCTATCATTAAGTCTTTATTCTTCAAAGGAATGATTTGCATGATATTGCCGATATTTATATTGCCTATCCACTCTGATTGATTAAAATATCCTAGAACAGATCTCATGTCAAGCTTTTCATCAAAGTCAAGATCGCTATCATCTAATTTGTTCTTTTGTTGATTTAAATTTTGAAATTGGAGATCTTCATCATCGGCTGGCTCGTCAATCGCTTTTCCAAAATTTTCAGGATACTTTTTGTCTGGGTCTTTATCAGTTATATATTTTTCATTGGGATTTTGTGAATTAATATTCTTCTCCTTCACTGATCTCTCCAACACTTCTTTAATCACAGGATGGATTTTATTTAGCAGCTTTCTCCATAAGGGATATACCTTCATCAAGCTGGTTCTTAGAAGCCTGGATAGCCGTCTCAGGGTTACTCTTCATCATTTGGGTTATTCAATCGTAATATGCTTTATGATCATCGTTCAGGCTTTCTCCTTTGCTTTGTAAATGCTCTTCAATGATTTCGAGTTCGTCATCGTTTGATTTTTCAATGTAAAATCTTCAGAGAGCATCAAGATCTTTGAACAAGCAATGAAGTAATTTTATACTCAAAGTTGCCTGCTCCAAGGCATCTTTATGTCTATGTAGCTGGGAGAAAAGGGCTCATAGCTGCATTCTAATCTTTGCTTCTCTTTCTATCATCACCATCCTTTGCGAAATAGATTGATTTTTCAAGGAGCTGTAGTCTCCGAGAAGCCTGAGGGAGTTTTGAAATGCGATAGCACACTCCTCAAGACTATTCATCCGTTGATAACAAGCTGCCATATTGTGAAACACCAGAAAGCCCATCTGTTGGTCTCTTCTGCAATGATCGAGGGAGACCACATTTATGATACCTTGAGCTTTCTGAAATAAGACGATAGCAATTTCGTATTGCTCTTTTGAAATATATTTTAGAGCACTATCATTAAGATCATTCAGGACGATAGGCACTTCATCTTGGGAGACCCTCAATTCCTTATTGTAGTGTTTATTTAAAAGTAGGGTCAGTCTCGGGATTACCTATCTTGGTTTCCTCTCCTTTAGAGCCAAGGAGATCTATATCTTCTAATGAATTCTCTTTGTTGGTATTTTGTTTTGACATAAACTGAATGCAAGTTTAAAATTTTCAATTTAAAATTTTTAAATTGGGGTTTTGGGGTTTTGGGGTTTTGGGGTTTTGGGG